GGGGGGCACCGGCAGAGCTGGGGGCAGCCCAGGGCAGGGTGCCCCTCACTCCCAACCCGCAGCCCCTGCCCTCGCCGCCCAGCAGCCCCCCAGCACCAGGCCCAGCAGAAGCAGCCCGAGCTGGGGGCAGCGCCGGAGCAGGAGCAGCCAGGCCAGGGCCAGGGCCCCCTCGGCCAGCAGCAAGCCCAGGGCCAGCAGCGCCCGCAGGGTGGGCACCAGGAGCAGCAGCTGGAGACCTAACAGCGCCAGCAGCCCCAGTGCCAGCAGCCCCAGCACCAGGGGCAGGAGGAGCAGGGCCAGGAGCAGCCCCCCCAGCCCCATGGCGCCCCCAGGAGGGGCCCTGACTCCCGGCTCGCCCGGCCCCTCTGGCCACGTCCTCGGCCCTGCGACTCCCGGCCCAGCACTCCCCTGGCCAGCTGCTGCCCGTGGGTTGGGGGTCTGCCCCCCCAGTCCGGCTCCGGTGTCCCCAGTAAAGCCCCAAGTCCATCAAGCCCAGTAAGGTCCCAGTCACGCCCCTTTTAAGGCCCTGTGGACCGAGTGGGCGGGGCCTGTGGACCGAGTGGGCGGGGTCGGGGCGGGGCCTGCCTAGCCCCGCCTCCCGGCCAGACAATGCGCTGGGCTGGCGCTGGTTGGGCGGCTGCTGCACTCGGTGGCGGGCGAGGCGGACGCGTCCCGGGGTCCCCCCCGCTTGGCGCAGCCGGATCGGGGGGGTCGCTGGCAGGAAACCGCCCCCGCAGCAGCCCCGGGGCATTCTGGGGCGGGGGCCCCCGGCGAGAGAGACCCCCCCAAACCCAGCGCCGCCCGGACCCTGCTGGGAGGTAAGAGCGCACAGGGGGGGTGGATTTTGGGGGATCCTTGAAGGGGGGGCTACGGGCTGAGGGGACCCCGGGGGGGCTGAGATTGACTCTTTGGGAGTTGCCGGGGGGCGCTGGGCGGGGCCCGGGGGTCTGGGCTAAGGGTGGAGCCCTGGGGGTCGGTATGGGGGGGCTGTATTCTGTGGGTGGGGGCTGTGGGGAGGACCCGGGGGGGGGAAAGTTGAGAGGGGGCCGATCTATGGGGAGACTGGGATGGTTTCAGGGGCGCTGAGGTGGGGGCGCTGCCGAGGATGGGTTGGCGGACAGAGGGGCGGGGTTGGGGGTGGATTCGGAGGGGGGGCAGAGTTACTGGGGTGCTCTGGCCCAAAGAAGGGGGGCTGGGGGCATCGCCTGTGGTTTGGGGCAGATCTTACAGGGGGTTGTAGGGTGACTGGGTGTGGGGCTCCTGAGGATTTAGGGGGGCTGTGGGGCTCTCTGCCGGGGCCAGCCGTTATGGGGTGCTGTTTAGGGAGGGCTGAGATGAGCGGGGATACTGGGGGGGGGCTGAGATTGGGGGTGACCCTCAGGCAGCGGGCGGAGCTGGGAACGGCTGTGGGGGTGTTGCAGGATTTGGGGGTGGCCCAGAGGAGGTCGCTGGGTTGTTTGGAGACCGAGGGAGGGTATTGGATGGGGAGCAAGGGGGCTGGGAGCCAGGACTCCTGGGTTCTCTCTCTGGCTCTGGATGGGGGTTGGGTGTGGTGGGTTGGAGCAGGGGGGATTGGGAGCCCGGACTCCTGGGTTCTCTGTCCAGCTCTAGGAGACGGCTGGGTGTGGTGGTGGGGGGACTGGCCGCCCGAACTCCTGGGTGTTCTCTTCGGCTCCGGGTGGGGGTTGGGCTGTGGTGGGTTGGAGCAGGGGGGGATTGGGAGCCCGAACTCCTGGGTTCTCTCTCCGGCTCCGGGTGGGGGTTGGGTGTGGTGGGTTGGAGCAGGGGGGATTGGGAGCCCGAACTCCTGGGTTCTCTCTCCGGCTCCGGGTGGGGGTTGGGTGTGGTGGGTTGGAGCAGGG